GCCGTTGTTGTGGCCGATTGGCAACCCAGAAAACCCAACACAGTTGTGGGCATCCTCATGCCTTATGCCGGCGAGGATTTGGGCATCTTGGCAAAGAATAGTGGAGGCAACCTACCCATTACACTTCAACAACTTCAAGACCTAGTCCGAGGCGTTCGAGAGCTTCGGAAGTACGAGCTTTTCCAGGGTGACATAAGGCCGTGGAACACGCTCCTTCAGCCTTCAACAACGGCTTCCAAGCCGCGTCTAATGCTCATCGATATCGACATGGAGCTCCCAGGATATCCTGGAGATGCAAAGGCATTAGGGAAACTACTGCAGTGGTGTCTCGAAAACTCGATGGCATTGAGTGAAGATAAACAAGCTAAAGTGAAGCTTATTAATGCCGTGAAAGCGCTCTTAAGTGAAAATTTCGACATGGCTATTGACTGCCTATCTGCGACAGAGCAGTCTATGCGACGAGGCCCCCCCTTCTACGTAAGTGTTCAAGGTTTCCATCCATGACGTGGATTATGTTATTATGGACTAATATAGTGTATCTAGACATGCCAACAAGGTGGGCTAGATTGGGTGTAACAAAATTCCAATTGACACCGCTATACTAGGATAGGTCATCTAGATGAGCTCTCGTTCATGTGTCCAATATAAAGGGATCAGGAATTTCCATTGTTCTTAGGGTGACGCTATGCAACGGGCTAGAGCCAAAGAAGTCTGGCCCCGTCACAGTGCGCTGCCATATGGGATCGAAATCGGTTGATATGTTGCGTATAGATCTATGCCTCAACGGTAAAACTATCTGAGTATGCTTAGATATTGAGTATGCTTAGATATCTACCGTCGCGACAGCCAGCTTCCCCTTGCAACTCTTCACTCCCTTCAGCCCCTATTCTCAGAATTATCTTGAGATTTCGAAACCCATTGACTTGGCCTCCTTTATTGTCATATCATATTTGACCCATGTTTTGCTGTCACCCAATCCCTGTCCACTGAGATCGACGAACGTCCCCTCGAAATGTTTCTTTTCTTCGTCGGTGGCCCAGGGCCTGTTCTTGTAAGTTTTGTTGAAGTTGTGGGTGCGTATCTGTACTGTGGTTCCGTCGTGGAATGTATGGAAGAGAAGCCAAGTTGAGGGATTGTAGAACGACGCCGGTAAGAGTAGATATCCGGTCTCTTTCCAGGCTCGACAGTATCTGTACTGTGGTTCCGTCGTGGAATGTATGGAAGAGAAGCCAAGTTGAGGGATTGTAGAACGACGCCGGTAAGAGTAGATATCCGGTCTCTTTCCAGGCTCGACAAAGCGGAGAAAAGTCTTGGGCTTGTTCCATTATGATGTCTTTTATCGTATCTAGTGAGGGTATGAGGATTCGAACGACAGAAAATGGTTGTCGATATTCGAGGGCTGCCAACGTTTTATACCTCAGAACCACCTCTGTAGGGACAATGTCGAAAAGTTTTTTATGTCGAATTTGAATGCCGTCACAACCATGCTGTACCTTCAGCTGCTATGTTGATGATGACGGTTAGCCTAATGTTCTGATCAATGGCTTGTGTAGCTAACAAGGCCACTGATGCAGGTGCTAGAGGGGCTCAAATATCTGCTGCAATTGATGGTCTGCTGCCATGTCAAGTCTTTCTTGACCGGGCTTCGCTGTATAAAAGGTCGGACAACCCGCCGTTCTACCTTGCAATAAGGAGCTATTCAGTTTCACTCTTCCTTCGGCTGCCAGATATTTGTATGTATACTATATACAATATTGTTCTAGTCTCAAACCTAATTTTTCCTAGGTTCACCAAGGCATCGTATCTGCCTGGATGTAAGATGATTAGCTCTGGCAGATCAGGGTCTTGCAGCACCTGCGGGCACTTCAACGAAGTTCATCGCAGTGAACCGTGTGCAGCACGACGATGCCGCAGAAAGATCAAAGTTTGTGGCAGCACAGTTCACACCCTTATCCATATGGATGGCACTGTTGACGAGAATTGGACCGGATGGGTAGTTTGCAGGCCGTGTCCTGAGCATGGACGGGAGAGCAAGGATGTGGACTATAGTAGCTGTCCTGTTATCGCTAAGGATGATGAAGGCAATCTTGTTATCGTACAATACGGTGTAGAGTACTGAGTTGGTCTATCAGTTTTCTGGGAGGTAACAGATGTATTGCCGGTCACGAGCAAGATTTGTCGGCTAGTAATGCAATAACAAGATTAGTAGGCTGTTGGGAAAGCCATCAAGCAGTGTCAGATATCAGAACCTCAAAATGGGGTAAGTCGTTGCTTCTTACGATGCCGCGACGCGGCATTGTAGGTATCAGCAACGACTCCTCCTAGTCTTAGGATTGTATCAGACATGGTTCCTTCACAAGATAAATACCGCGTTCATTTCTATCTTTCATTTGTTCTTCAGATAATTCTCATACGACGCCATTATACTCGATCTTTTGTGACCCTCAATTGTCTGACAACCAGCTTGCGCGGGAAGACAATGAGCAGGTCTCAAGACAACGTGATTGAACCATTATTCTGCCCACACGGTCGCTTACGGCGGTATTAACGGTGGCAATATCATCAGAAGCTGTCGATAGAGGGCTGGTTTTGACCGTGAATGGGGACCGATGACGTTAGTAAGTTTATTATCGAGACAGCTGGCGCGATATTGTCTGTGCAGCGACGCGGTGGTGACACCATTAGTTGGGTTGACAGGTTTGCTGCCTGATAAATCAGGCCGAGCGAGCTAGAGACTGTATTTAAGGCTCTCCATTCCTCCATTCAGCATGATCACAGGATACCCGAAAAGTAGCACCACCATTTTCACGTCAAACTTCCTCGATGGCCTTGAGCACCCTCAAGTCATCGTTGCCAACCTACTACCTAGAGGATGGCAGATGCCCTTCGACCAGACAACGAAACATACAAGTTTTATTATGAAGCAGGCTACCGGTTGTGGCATAGCCTTTGCTCAAGCTCAGACACATCTCCTTTGGATGCAACCAGCTTAGACATTGAAAATGCGTTTCCCCAGCATCCCTATTTTCCGCCACAGCTAGAGCTCGATCGCAATTCCTCTACCGTCCTATATGCGACGGGAACATCTACTTGGGAAACCAGCAATGGCAGTTGCAACCTACCCTCCTTGCAGATAGGACTTACCTTTGGAGTTACGATAGCCTGCCCAACCGCCATTTCTCTTCAATCGAGTCGCCTAATTGACAGCCCGAATCTCTTCGATGAGGAATCCAAGCATATGTTGGTTCTCACCCTCGCCTGGGCCTATGTACTATCTGCACGATGGACGGAGATCATTCCCGGGGCATCAACTATGTCATACACCGAAAGCGTGGCTACGCGCGACAGCCGTGACAACGCCCGCAACGGCGACGGCGATTTAATCGTGGACCTTGGTGACATTACATATGAAGCAGCGCGGTGGTGGGCGGCCATTCTTGCTCCCGAAGAAGGCTGGGGCGCTTGCATTTTTCACAACGGCAGGGTCTTAAAGTCGCCGTGGTCTGTAAAACTGGAGTCTTGCAGGACGTTGGCTCTACGTTATAACGCCGTACCCTCGCCTCTGGAGTGGCATTTTTCGGCATCTTTCTCCACTGCAATGGCTTACGTCCTTGACTACGCAATCTACCATGGACTTCAGAACCAAAGTCGAGCGGCATTTGCTGCCGCACTCCTGCTGCCGACACGCCACCGCATTTCGAAGCAGGTTCGCTGGCCCCGTATGCATCTTCCCCGCATGCAACGGTCGAAACCTTCCGTGGAACAGTACCTTCCGCCATGGGGGAGCAACAACTGTCAGTTGGATAGATTGCTCGCCCTTAGCTGCAATACTACAGGAGTAATCTCGCTCTTGTGCAGCACGTTTATTGAACCGGACATCCCGTGCAATGTCTGTGGCGCTTGGATTCAAGGCGCTTTTGCAATTCTTGACACACAAGTCGCCAAAGAGCCGCATATTCTGGCGCAAATGCTTATGTGCCGAGCTCCCAACTTGAATTTTCTGTGGTTAGGGGGCATACTTATGAACGTCCAGCACTACATCATGAAATGGGCTCGCCCTGTTGCGTTTCAGATTGATCTACATTCTGCGGCCTGGACAAACAGCTATGTTTCTTTCATCCAGAAACCTGTGTCGCGCACTGCTTCAAATGCGACAACGGTGCAGCGGTCGGACGAGGCTCGATTAATGTACCTATCGCAGGCTGACCATCACAGCAATCCCCCTCTCGTCCCGTTCACGCCATTTGGCTCCATTGCCCTTAAAGACTGCATTCTCGAGGTGCAAATGCACGTCTCCTGCCCCGGCTATCACGGCTTAAGATATGCCGGTTGGGCATGGAACTGTAGGAACAACACTAAGATTGCCCAAGACCCAATTGAAAGCTCTTTTACAACCAGCTCGAAGGTAGATGATGCTGTTGCTGGCCATACTACCATTCACTATGACAACCTTGACCGTGACAAGGACTGTTCAGAGTCTATGACGCGAAACATGTTTAAGTGGCTTCGCGAAGCGGACGGGTTTCCCGTCGCCGAACGAGCTATCAGAGAGCATGAATGGATTAGCGGGGGGTGGAGCTCGGAGGAAGAAAGTGCCGCACCAGAGGGTGATGGAAAATCGACCACAAACCGACAGATTGGACCATGGATATGCCGGGGCATAACGACAAGATGTAACACAATTTGAACATGTTGTAGCCAGAGTGCATGACATCCACCACTAGCTTCTTTTAGGTGTTTGCCTAGGGCTCAAATTTGCTCATATAAGGAATTGACAAAGAGTGGCGAGCAACAACTGGCTATTCGCTAAATTGAAAGGCGGCTGACCATGCACTGGCTGGAATACAACTTCTTGGATCTCAAGGCACGACTCGGACTCAGACACAATCCAGTAGCTCCTTAATATTGCTGCAACGACATCTTCCTGCTCTCAGCCTTGCGTCCTTCAATTTTGGGGACGATTAACTTCCAGACGATGCTGACTGCGATGTTCAAGTTGGCCGGCCACGGCCGATTATGTCGGATAATGCCTCTGTAGACTGAAGTCGCAGAGCTTAGTGTAATGACTGGTTGTCATAGTGTCGGCTATCATGACTAAACTTAGCCAAAAATTAAATTCGGACAAAAAGAAGTTTTTTTGGTATTAAAAAGAGAGCTACAGACAGAGTCTACAGCACTCGCATCAACAAGAAGAATGATTTTATCAAGAAGCTTAGTTAACATAAGTCTCATAACGTGACAGATTGCACTCCATGGTCCAATTTGCATCGCTGCTGTGGGTCAGTAATTCTGGGCCAAACTTCGCCTGTTCCCAACGCATGGTGAATCCACTATTGTCACGTTATGAGACTCATTGTTAACTAAGCTTGTTTTACAAAAATTATTATTATTCGTGGTCGTGCTACAGATAAAGTCTACAGCCCTCTACTTAATACCAAAAAACATCCTTTCGTCCAAATTTAACTTTCAGCTAAGTTTAGTCATAATAGCCAACGCTATAACATCCAGCCATTACACCAAGCTCTGCGACTTCGGTCTACAGAGGCATTATCCGATAACTATCGACCAGTTTTGAGCAAATTTCTCGGAACTCTGCCGCGATATTATCGGAAACGCAAAAAAAAATCTCAGATTCTGGGTCAGGCGAACTGGGTTATGGATTTTGCCACCGTCTTGCAAATGCAAACTGCGGGGATAGGCGCGATTTTATACTCAGTGTATTGTCAAGCCACTGATTGAACTCACATATCGTGAACATTCTACGAACGATAGATAGAAGAATAAAATTACACACGTGCTACGAAACATAAGAGGCGGATTAGGTTGACAAATATTGTGATAACAACTTTGTCGTGGTGGCAACTGTCAAGCTTGCGACTGACGATTCAGACATATTCTTTGCTGGGCAACATGGTAGTGTGCTACATATGGCACGGACTCTACTAGCTCGAACTCCATGAAGGAGCGATGGGCACAAAAGGTAAATCCTTCTCTCTACCTATAAATGCGTTATCAGCTAACCACCTACATGTGACGGTACAAGGGCACGAGCAAGGTCAAGTGCGACTTGGATAAAGCGATTGTTCACAAGGAAAGTAAGAGCTTCCCAAGGAAGTTCAGACTCGAGCTATGTAAGTCCTGATGTGGGGCCGTTCCCTTACACTACAATGTGATTACCGGGAACTGAGAGAATGTATTACTTCGAATGGGATGTTCTGCAAGGAAGAGAGATAGTTTGGCGCAAAACGGTCGAGGAACGAAGAGCATTAGAAAGACAAAAAATAAAACTCAATGCTCAAATGTCCAACTAGTTTCTCTGAGATAGCTAATTTGAATAGGGTTTCTGTTTTAGGGAAGTTGAAAGTTATAGCTCGGATATCGATTAGCTTAGTTGTGTCATTGTACTTAGATCACCCTTGACGGCTAAGTATGCTATCAGAAAGTCCGATTCGAATTATCAGAATCTTGCGTCGAGATCAAACCCATTCCACCTGTGGACTGTAGCGTAAACCATACATCAATGAGAGCTTAGCATGATTCCTTACGCTCATCGAATTCAGCGTACACAGACTCGTTCACTTTCTTCCGACGTACCGCTCGTAAATTCCAGAGGCACCGAGCGGCGACGGCACACATCATTACCACCAGAAGACTTGCAATCACGACAGGCGGAATCCACATTCGATCACTGCGTTGGAGAAAATGCTGCGCGACGGCGATACTGGCGCAGAGGTACGCCAGCAAGAAAGCCATTGCAAGGTCCTATAGGCAGAGTCAGAACTGGAAATATGCTCTAGTTATTGGAGTTCAACTTACTTGGAAGACAAGGAGGGAAAACACTCCATACCCGAGAATTGCCCAGACGAAAAAGAGACCAAAGCCCTCGATAGTGTCGTTGTAGCCGATTCCAGCTGTTACGGCAATTGCCCAGTTCCAAAGGATGGCAATAAAATTCCAGGCAAGAGGGCCGCAGATAACTGAAATGCGAGTGAAGTGTGAAAGCTTGCTATGCTTAAAGTAAAGCACAGAGAGGTTGACGAAATTGAGAATCAAGATACACTCGGCCCAGCCAAAGGCAGAGCGTACAAACAAGACCAGAAAAACAACGTGAAGTAAATTGTTGATGCTGAAATGATTGCTGATTGTGATGTAGCTGATGTCGTTAGAGGCCGCGAAAATATTGGCCAGCATGTGCACAAAGAGCGCGGCATGCATTCCTACCCTAATAGGTGATTTAGCTGCGGATCAGTCTGTTTGATGCTCGATACTAACCAGTAGGCAATGACCATGTTTGGATCAATGGTCAGGCCCGTCTCATACTGAAAATTCTGGTCCCAAATGCGCGCCCCGATGGTGGGACCATCTCGGGGTGCGCGGACCGTGTAGTAAATAGAGACACCGGCAGAGACCCCCCAAGTAAGCGCATCGATAACATGAGCGAGATCGAATCTTCGGTCAAGGTCCACTCTGGACACTTCGTTGACTATGTATGAAGATCAGTACAAGCTATGTGAGGGGGACAGCAGCCTGACGCTTACGAGAGGCCGGCTGCTTTTTCATGATGGCGTCTAGGCAGAACTGAATGCTAAGGTTTCTTTGATTTGATGAATATGTCTTAAGTGGCAAGAGGAACTTGGGAAGACAGGAAGTTGTCTGAGGTGTAGAAGAGGAAGCCGGGACTTATATAAGCCCAGGTCATAAACCCCGGCTTTCCTCATTCATCCTCGGTTTATCCTATGTAGCTCGTCCAACGTGATTTTAGTCTGCGCAGATACCGCCCGGGACTTTGTTGGCGCCTAGGTGCATACGACCTTATCCTCTTTCAGAGCAGCAAGGCATGTTTATGCCACAAATCGCGCAGGTCACATTACTGCATTTGGACACTGAATTGGATTGGTTGTTACACCCTCTGGGGCGCTCTTAAACTGTCTAACTTATGGTACCACTCTAATAGGTACTATCTACATTCAGTGTATTATCTGATTCAGTTTCCCCAAGCCCGGCCGAATCTCCGTGCTGGAGATTTTGACGGTTTCGCACTTTGACAGTACGTCGAGACATACTCAGAGGCTTCTAGGTACAACAGTAAGTTTAGTCTCCCCCGTACGCAATCACGTAGTCACTTGACACTCACCAGGTGCTTCAAAGCAAGAAGTTCGGCAGACAGCTTTTGTATCTGCTTCTCAGCATTTTGTTTCTCGAGACTCCTGACGTAATGCAAATGCTGAATTTCAGTCTGCAATCTGCAATTCTCTCTTGTCAAATTAAACAGCCGTGTTTCATACTGCGTTATGGAGCGTAAATGCATGATCTCTGAGCCCAGCGCATTGCGCTCTTGTAGGGATGTGAGTGGTGCTTTGACACCATGACTCTGAGCTTCTGAATGATCCATCGTAGAATGAGGTGAGGTGTGACTTTGCATTGTATGGCTTCCCTATTCACAAGGCATTACATACTGTATTTATATTTATGGAACCGGCGTTATCTTTGATCGGCCGATGGGCCCCGTCGGCTTCAGTTTCCGGACGGCCCCATATCGGGGCAAAGAGAAGGTGATGCCCCGGCTTTTTTTTTTTGTGATGAACCCCGAAGCCCCGCTATTTTCGCCGGATACAACACCCGCCCAGTATTGTGATTCCTACGGACGGCATGAAGCTAGGCGCCCATAATCCACGAAAGGGTGGAGACAAGGGTGAAATTTTTCGGCACGGCAAGTGCTGTTGGGAAACTTTGCTGCTGGGGTGCTTGATTTTAAAGTGGAGACAAGCTGTGATAGAGTTGCCTAGCTGTTACCTACCTAGGTACTTGCTCCTCGTTTATGCACCCAGCGGCTGGCTGAAGGACTCCCCAACTCGAGTGCTTCGATCACATCACATTAATAACGACGCATGCAAATGCATTACAAACTCAAGTGGCAATCTATTAATCATTCTATAGCTTACAAGGCCCAGGACCAGGGTGTGGCGTCGCGAAGGTTGTTAAACACCTTTCCAGTTCGAGCCAGAGCGCCAAGTTGCCATTTCTGACCAACTGCAGGCGGACCAATCGAGCTCCGGAACGACTCGGCTCTCAGCGCATCCGGCTCCGTCAAGTTCAACGCAACGAGGTTGCTAAGGCGCCGGAGCCTGTTTAGGGGAAGATCCACGCTATGTGAGGCGAATGTCATTCGGGACTGTCGATAACAAGACTCGAATGTATCATGTACTGAGAAAATGCGACCGTCAAATTCTGTCCAGGATATTCCATCAATATTATCTCGTCTTTCTGCCAGCCAGGCGTCAAGCAGTGCGTGGTGCGATGGCCGAATGAAGGACCGATACAGGGCCCCATAATCAAGCAGGAAGGACTGGGAGTCTCTGAGTGATCGCGTAACTGGCCCTCCGCGTTTGGCCCGATGGAAAGTAAACCCTTGATGTCTGTATTTCTTCACGTCAAGGTGGGCGTTCTTGTATTTCTGGCCCGGCCATGGTCTCCACATAGATGAGTGTTTGTCCTTAGACTGGGTGTAGTACATGTGGCCCGCGCACCATCCACTGATGAAGCACTGAACATGGCTGGCGTAAAAGTCTTTGATAAAGCTCATGCAGCTGTTGATGCCTGAATAAGAAGAGCCGATAATTAGTTCGACGCCCTGAGACCCTGAACTGGTTTGTATGTATCCTTGAAGAACACTGAGTGCTTCTCTCGCGCTGCTTGTGTCCTGACTATGCGGAAAAGCTGACTCTTCTGAAGCAATGCCCAAGGTCGGCTTTTCCAGATCAGATAAATGGCAGGCGTCCGAATTGAGCCTGTTGCCGCAGTTCATCTCCTTGTATGCCTTTAATCTGCCGTAGAGCTCTGTTCCGAGTAAATTTTCCGCTGCGGCTGGTTCAAGGGATTCTGCCCTTGAGTTGAGACACTCGAGATCCGCACTTGAGATGGAGGCCGTTCCAAGTGGGCGAAGCGATCTTGCCACTTCAGCTGCATCAAGCTGCCACGAGACCCCGCAAATTTCCAACACATTGACCATGTCTAATACTGATTCCTTGTATCCGGGAACGAAGAAAGTCCATGCCGAGTCTTCACTTGACGATGGGAGGAAGAACCCCAAAGCGCGCGGACCAGTGATAACACAGCCCGAATCAAACATGGCGGACAATAATGTCAGTGGGTACCGGAACGTTCGCGACAAATACCCAACGGGATCAGCTCGCGACTCGTAGCACTGTTTGAGTATCGGGCTGTAGGAAAAAGCTTTTCTCAAGACACAGGCATCTCCTATATCGAGATTTTTCATGACGTTTTGAAGGGCTGTAGATTTTTCTGCGAAAGACATCTTGAGGGAAGGTGGGAAAAGAGTTTGGCAGTGTTCTAGATGTGTGGCGTTGGTACAGAAGATGGTCGAGATGCTGAAAAAAAAAAATAGCCCTCTCACTTGAGCCTTAGCACCTTTAAATAGTTACATGCTCTGATATGTCTAATAAAAAGAGCAGGTTTATCATTCGACTTGATCTCACGTTTGTACGTGTTTCGCAGCTGAATGCCTTGATGCCTCTCTTGCTCAACAGTCTGGTACTAAATCTAGTTCTGGTCATACTAGGCTGGGCCGTCTCAAAGCGCTAGCTGAGGGCGCGAGAGCACCACTATCTTTAGTCACAGCGGCTGTCTTCAACCGACCACATTTCTTATTCCTCATAATTCGGCAAACAGCATTGAGTAGTTAGTTTTTGAGCGCTTAGCACACCTGCAGGCTTCCGGCATTGGAAGATTGCTAATATTTCGGTCTCGCAATGGCTGTGAGAAGACCCTGCTTAGATTAGTAAAATTGCAATTTCGTAATAAGGTACAAATTCTCTCTAAGAAATTAGGAATTGCATGGAGAGGCAATTTGATCTCGTCCTGGCGGTGAGCGTGGGCGCAACTCGACGCCGGTTGACCGTTATGGGTGGAACAGCGGACATGCACGGTAATCCTAGGTGTAATGGGACGCTACGCTTTCGGGGGCTTATCCCCTAAGTTTTCACATGGGCTTTAAACAATTAGGGAAGTTGCTGGTATGATCCAGGAGGTGGTGCCGGTAGCCTCGCTTGCAAGGTTACCACCACTCAAAGGGTGCTGGTAGCTTGCTTCAGAATGCTACTGGTATCAGCGAGTTATCGGTAACATTCATCGGTCGGCTGCCAGTAGTAGTGGTTTGCTAACTAAAAGTTACTAATAACACGGCTCTTGAAAGCCATCGGGTGCTGGTAAACGATACGGAATGAGTACCTGGTACTAGAAGATGTGGCCAGCGTTACTGGCAGCACCAATTTTCTCAAACGCGTTGGCGACTGGCAGCTGGCTTCACCAATGAGCCGCGAGTCGGCGGCCGGTTACAAGGATGTTGGGGTTTGCGCAGATGCAGGCAAATTGATATGTCATTATTGTTTCTATAACACTAGCTGAGAATGGTCTGATGTGTACCTAGTAAATAGACTAGC